TGCTCTGTCCTTCTCTTCCAGGCAGTTGGGATGCCACCTGTAGGTTCAGGAGAGAGCATCCTGGGGCTAGGGCCAGCCCAGGGGACCTTCTCAAAGGTGAGATGGTGCAAACAAAAAATGACTTCTATAACCTGTGACGCTTCCACATTCTTGCCATCATTCCCTTAGTACTGCCTCTCTTCCCCTCACCCCACCCTTCCTTTCTTTTTCCAGACACCCATTGGTGGCCAGAAGCGGGCCTTTTCTCACCTGCTCCCATCCCCAGAACCCAGCCCAGAAGGCAGCTACGTTGGCCAGCACTCTCAGGGCCTGGGAGGCCACTACGCAGACTCCTACCTGAAGCGCAAGAGGATATTTTAATCCATCCCCGAGGGACGCCCTCTTCCAGCTCTTCTCCCCAGCTTTTCCAAATGTGTACATTATTTGTAAAAATGTTTTTAATGTTATGTTTTAGGGTGATTTTTTAAAAAATATGTTTCTTATGTAAAGGACTTGGCTTGGGGTCAGCTACAAGCACAACCTGGAACACTGAAGATGGATCTTTGGAGCTTTTCTGGAGCAAATGCCCCTCTTTCCTGGTGGAGGTTATTTGGGCGGTCATGAGAAGCATTGCCAAACTGCAGATCTTCCCCTGCTGTCTCTCAATCAGCTGGACCAAACCGAATACATTTTCTCCACATGAGCTCCTTCCTATTGTCTTTTCTGATTGCAGCGTATCTTTTCTGTGAAGACACAAGTTCCCTGCCTTAAAACCGCTTCTAGCAAATGAATGTATCTGAATTAACCAGGTGCCTCTGGATGTGCTGCAGTGTGGCAGAGTGTGTTGCTAAGAGGAAGGAGGGGGCACCAGAAGAGCCGTGCATCACACGGGCAAACAGGTCCAGTTCAATGCAGCATCTCAGCGTTATTATCAAGCTCCAGGACACCCCCAGGCTGAGTTTAAAATCTCTGCCTCTTTGCAGTCTTTAGTTTTCTTCTCTTTTTGTTTTTTAAAAACATTAAGTCTATTCTACTTATTTTGGTAATTACAACATGTAAACTACCTTTTTAATTTTCCTTTTTTTGTTACTTCCCTTTTAACTAGTTTAGGTGTATGAGATCATCTTGGTATGCATCCATGTGATCTTGGATAACGTGTGTGTGGGTTTATTTTAATCTCTTGCTTTCCTATGTGTGATGTGCATATTTTTGGTCTAGACCAATTCCTCCTTTGGGTGCAAATGATTTTATTTCCTTGGGTGTGTTTCTATTTTTGACAGTTGTCTTAATGCTGATCCTGTAGTCTGATAGCTTTCAGGCCAAACTTCTATGGCTGGGACAATCTTTGGGCATTGGTTTCTGGAGTGACTTAAGAGTCTTGTGCAGCAATTCTGCGTCTTAATAGCAACAGAAGTCCCGATTTTGACTTTCTGACAGCACCCAGTTTTGTAGCTGTCATCATTAAGCTAAGAACTTAATGCTGGTTCAATTGAACTGGTGCTTTCAACTTCCAATCTTAACTTATGAATGTTTCTGTTTCTTATGCTGGCTGCTGAGGAAAACGGAAAGCACAATCTTATCCCAGGTTTAGCTACCTCGGTGGCCCAGGTTTAGTAAGTTACAAAGAGAAATAGCTCAACCAATTGCTTGAATCTGTTGTCACATTATTCCACGTGAAAATTTGTGTGGGCTTCACTTGAGACAGAATTGGGGTCTGTGGCCTTCGCATGGGGGATTTCTACTTCTGCTTATGATACCTTATCTGTTTTATAAACATGCTATGGTGTTTCTATTGTAGATACTGGCTGGTTTGCTGTATTTGCCATGGGGTTTGAAACCTCTCGGCAGCTGGATACCAATTTTCCAAAGTAAAGCTATATTTATATCAAACCTTTGCCTGGCTTCTTTATCTATATAAATAAAAATGTAATAGGTTCTTGTGGGTTTTTTCGGGCTATAGGGCCATGTTCTAGAGGCATTTCTCCTGACGTTTCGCCTGCATCTATGGCAAGCATCCTCAGAGGTAGTGACCTCACTACCTCTGAGGATGCTTGCCATAGATGCAGGCGAAACGTCAGGAGAAATGCCTCTAGAACATGGCCCTATAGCCCGAAAAAACCCACAAGAACCTAGTGATTCCAGCCATGAAAGCCTTCGACAATACATTGAAAATGTAATGTTTGTTTGTGGGATTAACATAACTCAAAAACCACTAGACAAATTGCCGCCAATTTTGGCCACAAGACACCTAGTAACCCAAGGAGTGACCATTACTAAAAAAAAATTGATTTTGTCCTTTGGGAATTGTAGTTGCTGGGATTTATAGTTAACCTACAATCAAAGAGCATTCTAAACTCCACGAATGATGGTATTGGCCCAAACTTAGCACACAGGACTCCCATGACCAACAGAAAACGCTAGAAGGGTTTGGTGGGCATTGGCCTAGAGTTTGGGAGTTGTAGTTCACCCACACCCAGAGAGCACTGTGAACTCAAACAGTAATGGATCTGGACCAAACTTGGCACAAATATTCCATATGCCCAAATATGAACACAAATGAAGTTTGGGGAAAATAGACTTTGACATTTGGGAGTTGTAGTTACTGGGATTTATAGTTCACCTACAATCAAGGAGCATTCTGAACCCCACCGACAGAATTATTATTATTATTATTAAATAATAATAATAATAAAAACTTTATTTATACCCCGCTACCATCTCCCCAAGGGACTCGGTGCGGCTTACATGAGGCCGAGCCCAAACACAACAATACAGGCAATAATCACAACAATACAAGCAATTAAAATAAAACATAAATGAGAAACATATAACATTATCAATAAGACAACATACAGTTAAACTGTGGGAAGGCCAAATGTAAAAATTAAAATTGGAATAGTGCTGAGGCATGGACAAAAAGGTGATAGTGGCGTTTGTGGAAGATATACGAGCAGACCTAAAAGTATAAAGTGCTTTGGAGGGACAAAGTGCTATGGGATCATTATTCTGGGAAGGCACACTGGAACAACCATGTCTTCAAGCTCCTCCTAAAGACTGCCAGGGTTGGGGCCTGCCTGATGTCCTTCGGGAGTGAGTTCCAGAGTTGAGGGGCCACCACCGAAAAGGCCCTCTCTCTCCCCACCAATCGCGCCTGCGATGCTGGTGGGATCAAGATCAGGGCCTCTCCAGATGAACAAAGAGATCATGTGGGTTCGTATACAGAGATGCGGTCACGCAGGTAAGCGGGTCCCAAACCGTTCAGGGCTTTGAAGGCAAGAACCTGCACCTTGAATTGGGCCAAACTTCCCACACAGAACCCCCATGACCAACAAAATACTTAAGACCATCCAGTCCAACACCCTTCACCAGAGCAAGAAAATGTAATCAAAGCCCTCCTCAGAGCCATTCAGCCATAGATATATATGATTCACACAGAGAGAGATATAGTATCAGATTTCAAAGGGACCCCTAAAGAAGGAAAATTATATGTGGCATGTTCCAGAGTAGACAGATCAAACAATCTCCACATCAACACTGACAAATAATAAATACTGGGTTGTTGTAGGTTTTTCCGGGTTATATGGCCATGTTCTGGAGGCATTTTCTCCTGACATTTCACCTGCATCTATGGCAAGCATCCTCAGAGGTAGTGAGGTCTGTTGGAAGTAGGAAAATGGGTTTATATATCTGTGGAATGACCAGGGTGAGACAAAGGACTCTTCTCTGCTGGAGCTAGGTGTGAATGTTTCACACTTACACCTCACTACCTCTGAGGATGCTTGCCATAGATCAGGGGTCCTCAAACTTTTTAAACAGAGGGCCAGGTCATAGTCCCCAAAATTGTTGGAGGGTCGGATTATAATTTGAAAAAAAACATGAATGAATTCCTATGCATGCTGCACATATCTTATTTATAGTGCAAAAAACACTTAAAAACAATACACTAAAATGAAGAACAAATTTAACAAATATAAACTTATTGGTATTTCAGTGGGATGTGTGGGCCTGCTTTTGGCTGATGAGATAGGATTTTTGTTGTGTGCTTTCAAGAAGTTTCAGACTTAGGTTGACCCTGCACAAGTTTGAGGACTCCTGCCATAGATGCAGGCGAAATGTCAGGAGAAAATGCCTCTAGAACATGGCCATATAACCCGGAAAAACCTACAACAACCCAGTGATTCCGGCCATGAAAACCTTCGACAAAACAAGAAATACTGTTTACCCACAAGCATATAATTGCGGTATATAAGCGAAGTAAATAAATAAATAAATAAATATATTAGAAACGCTTTCCAATTACTTTATTTTCCAGATCACCAGACTGGGCCACAGCAACGCATGGCAGGGGACGGCTACTCTATATAAATAAAAACATAATGTTCGTTTGTGGGATTGTTGTTGTTGTTGTTCATTCGTTCAGTCGCCTCCGACTCTTCGTGACCTCATGGACCAGCCCACGCCAGAGCTCCCTGTCGGCCATCACCACCCCCAGCTCCTTATGGGATTAACATAACTCAAAAACCACTGGACGAAATGACACCAAATTTGGACACAAAACACCTATAATGCCAACGAGTGAACATCACTCATAAAAACACTGAAAAACACAGTGGAAGAGACTTAAAAAGCCAAAAATTAATATATATATACATTTCAATGCATGGGCAAAACCACATATATATACATATTTACACATACATACACTCACAAAACACATATACATAGACTGGGCCACAGCAACGCGTGGCAGGGGATGGCTAGTAACATATATAATTATAATATTGTATTATTATTTTACTTTTAAAACAGGCTTCAGGCACTGTCTTAAAATTGTTCTTAGGCAATGCTGGAAGGTTAGCCTCAAGCAGGCATGGATGGGGCTGATGTTACACAACTTCCTAGTCTTGGTGATCAGAAGCCAGACTGCCAGACTTGCCATCTCCTGTCTAGCTTGGCGCGCGCTCCCCCTCGCCCCGCCCCTTTACATCACCATGGAAACACACTCCCCGCCTCCAAGTCACGTGGCGCCTGTCATGGCGGCCTCCATGGCTGCGGTCGGCGTCAGGCACGGAAGGGGGCTTCGGCCGCTCTTTTGGAAGCCCTGGCGGGCCCTGCTCCGGAGCTTCCGCACGGCAGGTGGGAAAGCAGCTGCTCTCTCTTTCCTTCCCGATCCCCCAAAGGCGTGAGTGTGAGGAGGAGGCGGGGAGGAGGACTTGATCAAGGTTAGCCAGTGGGTCGCCATGGCCGCCTCTCAGCAGAAAGAATGACTTGGGCCAAAGGTCGCTCAGTGCGTACCCTTTCTGGCTGGTTTGGGAGTTCAACTCCTCTCTTCCCCACCTCTGAATGAATACCTGGAGGAGGTAAACAAATTGAAGCAACCGGGACTGGGAGTCAGCTGCATTAAGATCACTGCTGACCGGAAGATCATGAGTTCGAAGCCAGCCCGGGTCAGAGTGAGCTTCCGACCATTGTGTAGCTTGCTGTTGACCTTTGCAACCACAAAAGTTATTTATTTATTTATTTACAGTATTTATATTCCGCCCTTCTCACCCCGCAGGGGACTCAGGGTAGATTACAATGTACACATATATGGCAAACATTCAATGCCAAAGACACAACAGATATAGACAGTCAGAGGCTATTTAACTTTTTCTGGCCGCAGGGGAGCTGTCACTTTCATTGTCCATCTGCAACGCTGATGAAGTACTTCCGCATTCCCCGCATGCTTTTGCTGGAGTGCGTTTGCTGGAGTCTTTTTTATGGCCTCGTAAATTTTTGTTAAATTAGCCTCCCCACACATAGGTGGTACCTAATTTTCCTACTTGACAGATGCAACTGTCTTTCGGGTTGCAAAAGGATTGTGGCGCAGCTGGCTGAGTGTCAGCTGCATTAAGATCACTCTGACCAAAAGGTCATGAGTTCGAAGCCAGCCCGGGTTGGAGTGGGTTTCCAACCAATTGTGTAGCCTGTTGTCGACCTTTGCAACCCGAAAGACAGTTGCATCTGTCAAGTAGAAAAATTAGGTACCACCTTAAAGTGTGGGGAGGCTAAATTAACTAATTTATGAGGCCATAAAAAAGACTCCAGCAAAGCGGGGAATGTGGAAGTACTTCATCAGTGTCGCAGATGGACGATGAAAGCGGCAGCTCCCCTGGCAGCCAGAAAAAGTTAAATAGCCTCTGTGTATGTCTGTATATGTTGTATGTCAAATTGGCATTGAATGCTTGCCATTTATGTGTACATTGTAATCCGCCCTGAGTCCCCTGCAGGGTGAGAAGGGCGGAATATAAATACTGTAAATAAATAAATAAATAAAATTGAAACTGAGTCCAGATGTTTGCCACCAAGAGTCCTAATCTGGGGGTGGAGGTGTGTCAACCAGCCCTGGATGGGATTACATCCCCCCCCCCAAAAAAAAAGTAGTGTTCACAGCTTGGGAGTGCTCCTGGATCTGTCTCTCCAAATGTCAGCCCAGGTAAGTGCACTGATCAGGAGTGCTTAACAGCTTTGGCTGAACTGCCAGCTGCGCACCTTCCTAGATTTGAAGGACCTGAAAATGGTGGCGCATAAGCTGATAACCTCAAGATTGGACTAATGCAATGCACTCTACATTGGGTTACCAAGACCGTTTTAAACAGTGTATTTTAATATTGAGATAAATGTTTTTAATGTTTACGTATGCATATAATGAATTCTTGTCCTGGCATTGAATGTTTGCCGCATATATGCTGTGCTTCGCCCTGAGTCCCCTTCGGGTAAGAAGGGCAGAATATAAATGTTTTAAATAAATAAAATAATAAATTACCCTTGTACCAAGTTTGGAAACTCCAGCTGGTTCAAAATAAGGCAGCCAGATTGGTTACAGGAACATCTAGGAGTGAGCATATCATCTATCTTAAAGTCACTTCAAATGATCAAGGGTCTGGAGAACAAGCCCTATGAGGAGCGGCTTAAGGAGTTGGACATGTTTAGCCTGAAGAAGAGAAGGCTGAGAGGAGATATGATAGCCATGTATAAATATGTGAGAGGAAGCCACAGGGAGGAGGGAGCAAGCTTGTTTTCTGCTTCCTTGGAGACTAGGTCGCGGAACAATGGCTTCAAACTACAAGAAAGGAGATTCCACCTGAACATTGGGAAGAACTTCCTGACTCTGAGAGCCGTTCAGCAGTGGAACTCTCTGTCCGGGAGTGTGGTGGAGGCTCTTTCTTTGGAAGCTTTTAAACAGAGGTTGGATGGTCATCTGTCAGGGGTGCTTTGAATGCAAATTTCCTGCTTCTTGGAAGGGGGTTGGACTGGATGGCCCATGAGGTCTCTTCCAACTCTTTGATTCTATGATTCTATGAAGACACACAACATATATAAACAGTCAGAGGCCATTTAACTTTTTCTGGCCGCCAGGGGAGCTGTCGCTTTCATCGTCCATGTGCGATGCTGATGAAGTACTTCTGCATTTCCCGCATGCTTTTGCTGGAGTCTTTTTTATGGCCTCATAAATTTTTGTTAAATTAGCCTCCCCACACATAGGTGGTACCTAATTTTCCTACTTGACAGATGCAACTGTCTTTCAGGTTGCAAAGGTCAACAACAAGCTACACAATTGGTCGAAAGCTCACTCCGACCCAGGCTGGCTTAGAACTCATGATCTTGTGGTCAGAAGTTATCTTAATGCAGCTGACCCTCAGACAGCTGTGCCACAGTCCCAGTTGCATCTGTCAAGGAGGAAATTTAGCTACCGCGTATGCGGAGAGGCTAATTTAACTAGTTTACGACGCCATAAAAATCTCCAGCAAGCATGCAAAGAACGAGGAAGTACTTCATCAGTGTCACAAATGGACAATGAAGCAACAGCTTCCCTGGTGGCCAAAATGCCCTCATCCAAAAAGCTGGAATGTTAAGTAGCCTCTGTGTGTCTGTCTATATATGTTGTGTGTCTATGGCATTGAATGTTTGCCATTAATTATATGTACATTATAATTCACCCTGAGTCCCCTGCAGGGTGAGAAGGGTGGAGTGAGCATATCACACCTATCTTAAAGTCACTCCAATGGCTGCCAATTAGTTTCCGGGCAAAGGACAAAGTGTTTGTTTTGACCTTTAAAGCTCTACATGGTTTGGGTCCAGGTTACCTACAGGATCACCTTCTCCCATACAATCTGCCCCACATACTTCAGTCTTCTGGTTGCGGGGTGTCTGTTCCAACCAGCCAGAACCCGACTGGCAACTACCATCTAGAGGACCTTTTTAGCGGTCACCACTCAACTGTGGTCTGTGGAACAACCTTCTGGAAGAAGTCCAACAGCTAAATCAGTTGTCATAATTTAAGGCACAAGTGAAGACCTGTCTCTTCCGGCAGGCCTACCCTGACAGTCTTTAAACATAAACATGCATTTTATCTCACTCTAGTGGCCTTTCAAGTGGAAGAGGAGAGCTGTGCTGCAGAAGTGTGAGTATCGGGAAACTTGTTTTTTTCAAGGAGCAAATCAAATTTACATTTAATTGGGTAGATTTTTTTTCCAGGATCGAACTAATCTTACATCTCATTGGGTAGCTGTTGTTGATTATGTAGGCCCACTTGAACAACAGTTTCACCCTTTTAAAATGGCAGACAGGCATTTTTCAAAATGTAGTAATTTTAGGATTTATTTTACAAAGTTTAGAAAATAGAGTTTTTCTTTTTTGTCTTCCTTGTCTTCACCACCGGATATCTCACTGTATATTGCCAGAGAAAGTAAAATTTAACCTGGGCCTCATCTGTTCACAGGGAGAGGCAAGTAATAAAATAATAATAATAATAATAATAATAATAATAATAATAATAATAATAATCTTGGGAAGTGTCCAACATGTGATCCAATTCAACAGCCAGCAGAATGTCTGCTGTGGACTCATCTTGTTGTGTTTCAAATAATAATAATAATAATAATAATAATAATAATAATAATCTCCAGGAGTAGATGTATCGTATATTTTAAAGCAAAAGTATGTGTGTATATATATGCACACACATCTGTCAGTTATTTGAACATTTCAAAATCATCTAAGATTAGCTTTATAATCTGTTGGGGATGTAGTGGGGTAGAGCTAAGTTTGATTCTTTTAAAATGCATTTCTCTCTTTTTCAAACTTCTGCATCTAACCTTTCTTCCTATTAGTTCAGGGCAGACATAGGTTTTCCCCTCCCCACTCTTATCTTTACAACCAACTAACCTGGGAGGAGGGGATCAGGCTGAGAGTGAATGTTGGCCCAATATCACCTCCTGAGTTACACATCTACTGGAGACATAAACCTGGATTTCATAAGTCCTGGTTCAGAGCTGTAACTAATACACTTCTCTGACTAACATAAAAACAATGTTTGGTATGCAGCCTCTGTGCCAGTTATTAGATGTTGACTAACAATCTAGGACAGAGTTTCTCAAGCAAGGTTTCCTGGTTCATGAGTAAGGATTCTTTGAGACATTGTGATTGAGCTGCGGATATAATAATGTTTATGCAAAGACCTGAAAATTATTTCAAGTTTTTTTTTTTTTGCAGATAATGGCTGGTCTATGCCTTTATGCAGTCTTGCTTGTGGCTTTCTAGAATTTGACCATTATGAGAAGTCTGTGGATTGATAGGTTTTTCTGTTTTATTCTGCCACAGAGTGAATGTGGTGTTCATAGACCGCTGTGGGCAAAGGATTCCAGTGCAAGGCAGAGCTGGGGAAGACGTGCTCCGCTTGGCCCAAAGACATGACATTGACTTGGAAGGTAAGTCATAAGAACATCCCAGATCAGATTCAGTGCCTTTTTAGTCCATCTTCCAGTTTCCAGCAGTGGTCAGCTATATACCTATTGAAAGTTTACAAGCAAGGCAGGAGGACTATAGCTCCCTCCCTCCTTGTTCTGCAGCAAGTAGTGTTCTCAGACAAACTGCCTCTGAACAAAGAGGTACCCTGCATATTAGTGCTAATGACAAATACATGATGGACTAGTCTAACCTAGTGGTTATCACTCCAGCTTGTCACAGTGGATATTAGATGTTGCTAATTTGTTCTTTTAAGGTGTCATAATAATAATAATAATAATAATAATAATAATAATAATAATAATAATAATAGAGAACCAACATTGAGGGAAGTCAATAGTAGTAAATTGCTTAAAGTGCAAAAGACAAAGAGTGAATACCGTAAAAACACAATCCAGAGCAGAAGCGAAAACTGGCAAAACAAGGCTCTCCATGGACAGTTCCTGGCAAAAATTGAGAGCCAAATTGACCAAAAAAATGGCTGTGGATCAGAAGTGGAACTTTGAAATAGGAGACGGAGGGCCTGATTCTGGTAGCACAAGAACAAGCCATTAGAAACAATGCCATCAAAACCAGAATTGAAAAGTCAACAACAGATCCCAAATGTAGACTCTGCAAGGAAGCAGATGAAACAATAGATCACATCCTCAGCTGCTGCAAGAAGATTGCGCAGACAGACTACAAGCAGAGGCAGAACACTGTTGCTCAGATGATTCATTGGAACTTGTGCCTCAAATACTATCTGCCTGCGACAAAGAACTGGTGGGATCACAAGCTGGAAAAAGTTACAGAGAATGAACACGTCAAGCTACTCTGAGTCTTCCGGATTCAGACAAACAGAGATCGAACTACAAAGACTGTGGCATAAGCCAGTCAAGGTGAACTACAAAGACTGTGGCACAAGCCAGTCAACACTGGGTGCAGTGCCTACAGACCTTTGCCTGCACTTAAACACAATTGGCGCTGACAAGATTACCATCTGCCAGCTGCAAAAGGCCACCTTACTGGGATCTGCACGCGTTTTTCGCCGATACATCACACAGTCCTAGACATTTGGGAAGTGTCCAAAGTGTGATCCAATACAACAGCCAGCTGAGTGATCTTGTTTTGCTGTGGACTCATCTTGTTCTGTTTCAAATAATAATAATAATAATAATAATAATAATAATAATAATGTATAGACTGCCCTATCTCCCCGAGGGGAGTAGTCTCTTCCATCTGACCTGCAGTCAGTCATCTGCCAATCACTTTCATCAGATGACCCTGAGTGCTGGTAATATGAAAGAGCAAAATTAATATGCCATGAAAATGGTATCAATAGAAATAAACAATTCCAAAACAAATTTTAGTTCTCACTACCGTGTTGAAGTGGTTCTAGAGTGTCAATGTTCTCATACATACTTAAATATATGTATTCATAATAAGGTATGTCTGCCTTTCCTTACAGCCCCTAAAGGTTTTATATAACATATGGGGTGTTTATGCATATCTATTTTGGTAAATCAATTACAATTACTATCAGTATATGTCTATGTTTATAATTATATATTTACATTACATGTAATATTACTAATAATATTACAATATAATGGTATAGTGCAATATAGTAATATATAATACTGATATAGTACTATACTAATAATATAATGTATTGTATGAAAATATATATTGTAAGCTGCTCTGAGTCCCCTTCAGGGTGAGAAGGGCGGCATATAAATGCCGTAAATAAATAAATAAATAAATTCAGAAGACAAGTAGCATGGAAAAGCTTTGAATTGGAGCAGGACCAAGCAAGTGTCATTCATATTGAGAGACAGCAATATATCCATAATAACATACCGCAGTCTACAATGAGAAGATTTGTTAATCACGGGTTTAAGAAAAAAACAACCACATATCAAAAGACTGTTCCAGACTACAAGGAAATCAACACTACCTGAGGAAAGATCCCGAAAACAAGGACATTGTACCTGGGAATACTTGTGGTTGTGTTATGTATATATACCAGACATTTGGAGTTTTTTTCTTTTGAGATTTATGTAGGTTATGTTTCATGCGTTGCAGTATATGAACAGGTTAGTACCTAGTTGGGGCTGTAAGGAAAGGCAGACTTACTGTATTATGAATACATATATTTAAGTTTGTATGAGAACATTGACACTCTAGAACTACTTCATGGTAGTGAGAACTAAAAATTGAATTGTCGAAGGCTTTCATGGCCGGAATCACTGGGTTGTTGTAGATTTTTTCGGGCTATATGGCCATGTTCTAGAGGCATTCTCTCCTGACGTTTCGCCTGCATCTATGGCAAGCATCCTCAGAGGTTGTGAGATCTGTCCTTTTGCATGGTATTTTCTAGTTCTATGTCAGAAATTGACACAGCCATATCTTGTTGTACTGCAATGCCGAAAAGCCATAGCTGACATAACTAGTGTTAAGGGATAATGAGAATTGCAGTACAATAACATCTTAAGGGACCATGATTCCCCAACGCTCTTCTAGTCTATATGCTTTTTTAAAGGCCAGCGTAGAGTGCAGTGTAGCCAGTGCTATATGTACATTTATGCTAGGAAACAGGAGATAAAATGCACAGGACGTTCTGATAAGGTTAAAATGTAAAAACATACATTCATTGTTGCAGGGAATATATCTGACAGAGAACAATAGACAGGCAAAAGAAAGTTATCTTGGTAGAAAAATCCCTTATGCTGATTCTTTTATCTGCTTGTAAGGGATCTTGAGGCACAGAAACCTCATGATGTTTCTTTCTCAAACAACGGGTAATAAAGATGTAAAATCTTTGGAGAGAGGTGACCTTTGCATGCAGGCAGGAAGAAGAATATCTTGATTTCCATAAATCTGAGAAGTATGTGAAAACAAGGCAGCAGGTGTGCACTACAGGGTTCCCTCTATCCCCAACTGCTCCATATACAAGTGTTGATGGTCCTTCACTTCCAACATCTGACAACTCCTGCTTCTTTTAATAGGTGCCTGTGAAGCTTCCCTGGCCTGCTCTACCTGTCACGTCTATGTGAGTCATGACATTGTGGATAAGCTTCCCTGTCCTGATGAACGGTAGGGAACCGTATTGTCTTATTGGCTCTCTTGTTATGAGCATCATCTGAAGCACTTTTCTAAGGCTGCTTCTCAAGTTCTTCCAGTGCAACATGACTGGAAAGGGCTCTGTCCCACAAGAGGTGAAGAATTAGGCAGGTATACTCCCATTGGCTGCCATCCATTTTCCGATGCCAATTCAAGGTGCAGGTTCTTACCTACAATGAGGGAGAGGGCCTTCTCTGTAGTGGCCCCCCGACTCTGGAACTCACTTTCTAAGGATATCAGGCAAGCCCCCACATTGGCAGTCTTTAGGAGGAGTCTGAAAACGTGGCTGTTCCAGTGTGCCTTCCCTAAATGAGGAAATAATCCCCAGCAAAATGTCTTCAGAAGCACTTTAACTACTCGTTGGGTTGCTCTCCCTTCATTTCTTTTAAAATCTTCCTATCAGATACATCCTACCTCTGTTCATGCCCAGTATGATGGCACACCAGGAAGATCTAATGAGAAACTAAATGTGTCTGGTTATTTTCCCAGTGACCATCGGTATGCCCTAAATTACTTTAATATCTCAAAATAAAACACTAGAGACAAGACTAAATTCAACAATTGTTTACTGAATAAACAGGGTATAAAAGTATAGTTTGATTATGATGGTGTTAGAACAGTGAAATATAAACTCTGAGGTAACAAACTATAATTTCTATGAGGTAAGTATAACTACTAACTATGGCATATTCTATAATCTATAAACTCTAACGCATGTATGGCTATATCTATTCTTTATTACATATACTATAATCTATGGGGCATGTATATCTGAACTATCTATCTATAAGGCAAATATTATCTATTCTATGGCAAATATGTGATAAGGATGGCCTGTTCAAATCGCTAGGCCAGACCAGACACTATCTGGCTAACTAACTTCAAGCTATGACCAACAAAGAATGCCATAAGAAGTTCTATCACCAGCCCATTCTGGCTCTGAGTCAGAATGGGCTGCACCGACCGAGCTCGGCCTCTAGGGGGAACCTAAGCTTCTCCCCTAAACTTGGCAAAATGGAACAATCCAACAGGCAAACAGGGAAATAAACAGGCCGAGACTTCACACCCAGCGTTTATTTTTTAAATTTTAAACTATTACATTTGGCCCGGCCATAGGTTTTTTTAAATCCTTGTGTGTTACTGTTTTTATGTGAGTTATATTAATTGTATTGTTTTTGCTTATTGTTTTTTGTTTTATTGATGTGTTGTAGGGAGATGGTGGCAGGATATAAATAAAGTTATTTATTATTATTATTATTATTATTATTATTATTATTCAGGATATTCTTCCTTTCTATATTGGGAGTATGCCCAGCTCTATAAGGGTTCCTTCCGTGCTGCTTTTAGCCTCAACCAAATGGCAAATTACTCATAGGATAGGTTTCAACATTAAAGATATGATAGCAAACATCATGAAGCCACAAAAAATTGGGGTGTGATGAAAAGGCTTAATAGAGCATATATAACAACAACAACAACAACATTATGGCTTGAGGTGGGGTACATCACAGTACAAATACATCATCGTCATAAAATTATTTCTCTAAACCATATTTCTCTAAAATACACATATTAAAATATAGGGAGCAAAGATTAAAATAATTGTATTTTAATCTTTATTCCCTGTATTTTAATATGTGTACTTTAGATGTAGAAGATGAATTTAAAATTCATAGTTACACATTGACTGAGTAGGCCTGCCTGAAAAGATAATTATTTAAATTGCGTTTTAAATTCTGACAGCTCATTTAGCTATTGGAGCTCTTCCGGCAGGTCATTCCACAGTCTTGGGGTGTGTTCTGCCTCCAGAGGCAGAATTTATCATTTGCTCCCTATGCCTTTAAGGATATAGGAGTGGGGAGGAGCTCAAGCCTCAGTTCCTGCCTGCCTCAGAATGGCAGTTTTGACAGTTGGAAAATCAGTTAGAGACTAGGAATGGAAGGAAACAGAGGGTTAGAAAAAGTACAGATTTTATGTCACATCGGAGATATATTGATAATAAAATAATATAGTCCAGGCGGAGATAATTAGATAGTTATAGAGTTATTCAGATAAAAATTAGATATAGATAGTGACATTGTGGCGTAGATAATTAAGTACTAGGAGTCACATCTAATATCTATTTAGTAAAATAAAGGAAGTCACATTTCTTATTAAGTACAAGGCTGCAGAAGCTCATGGGATTTCCTTTTCATAAAGACTTACAGTGGCAGGTCATTCCACAGTCTTAGGGCGGCTGATGAAAAGGGCCTCTGGGTAACAGTCACCAGTTGGGTTCTGGCTTTTTGGAGTATCCACCCTCCAAAGGACCTCAGACTCCTAAGGAGTGATTATATAGGAGAAGGTGATCCTGTAGGCAATCTGGACCCAAACCATGTAGGACTTTAAAGGTCAAAACCAATAGATAATAGTACTTCCATTTCTATCCATAGTACAATACATTCTATGCATTTTTTCCTCTGCCCAGGAAGCCTAAACTAGTTTTGGCCTTTTGCATCTCATTTACATTGGAAATTCACATTTCATTTTTCTCTTGCAATTTCTGAATATTTTCCAAGTATTTTTCCTAAGCCACCTGTTCCCTTCCTGCACTGGCTCAAGTTCCATATCATGGACTTAATGTATGAATTTCATTTCATTGCTAGTACAGATTTCTCCAATCACTGAAATAACAGGAGCCCCTGGTGGCACAATGGGTTAAATGCTTATGCTGACCCAAAGGTCAGCAGTTCAAATCCGGTGAGTGGGGTGAGTTCCTGTCTGTCAGCTCCAGCTTCTCATGCAGGGACATGAGAGAAGCCTCCTACAGGATTATAAAACATCCAGGTGTCCCCTGGGCAATATCCTTGCAGACGGCCAATTCTCTCACACCAGAAGCCACCTGCAGTTTCCAAAGTTGCTCCTGATATGAATAAAAGAAAAAAATAATGAAATAACATAATTTCCATTTTTTTCTCTCGAGTTCTTGTCCATGAATTGTGGAGAGGAGTTTCCCATGGATATAGTGAAGGGAAAGGAGGAGACATTGTAGAGCAGTGGTTCTCAACCTTCCTAATGCCGTGACCCCTTAGTAYAGTTCCTCATGTTGTGGCGACCCCCAACCATAAAATTATTTTCGTTGTTACTTCATAACTGTAATTTTGCTACTGTTATTAATTGTAATGTAAATATCAGGTATCCAGGATGTATTTTCATTCACTGGACCGAATTCRGCACAAATACCCAATACACCCAAATTGGAATACTGGTGGGGTTTGGGTGGGTTGATTTTGTCATTTGGGAGTTGTCGTTRCTGGGATTTATAGTTCACCTCCAATCAAAGAACATTCTGAACTYCACCACTGATGGAACTGAACCATACTTGGCGCACAGAACTTCCATGACCAACAGAAATTACTGAAAGGGCTTGGTGGGCATTGACCTTATGTTTGGGAGTTGTAGTTCACCTACATCCAGAGAGCACTGTGGACTAAAACAATGACAGATCTGGACCAAACTTGGCATGAAYACTCAATATGCCCAAATGTGAACACTGGTGGAGTTTGGGGAAAATAGACTTTGACATTTGGAAGATGTAGCTGCTGGGATTTATAGTTCACTTACAATCAWAGAGCATTCTGAACCCCACCAATGATAGAATTGAGCCAAACTTCCCACACAGAACCCCCATGATCAACAGTAAATACTGTATTTTCTGATGGTCTTCGGCGACCCCTCTGACACCCCCTGGCGACCCCCACAGGGGKCCCGACCCCCAGGTTGAGAAACACTGTTGTAGACAAAGGATTTTTGCTGAAATATTTTCTTRCAGTGGTTGGTTGAATCTATGGAAGCAGAATTTATGGATATGAYGTCAACCTTAACTGTTGCTGTAGTCTTTATGTTGTAACGTGGTTGTGTTTTTATTGGTTGAGAGATGCTGTGAAGATAAATATGGGTTATGGGATCAAATTGGCAATCAGCATTAGTATGAGAAATAAGGCCTATCCCCTTCTTGACCCTTCTCTTCCTCTCTTAGGGAGGAGGATATGTTGGACATGGCACCACTGCTTCAAGAGAACTCACGCCTGGGCTGCCAGATCATCCTCACCAAAGAACTGGAAGGCGCTGAGTTCACCCTTCCCAAGATCACCAGGAACTTTTACGTGGATGGACACGTCCCCAAACCTCATTGAGCTTATCGCAAAGAAGAACCAGTCTCAAAAGTGAGGTTGACTCAAGTTTAAGACGCAGGTATCAAAGAACAAGGTGGAGTAGTTGAAGCAACTGGGATTATTATTTTCTTTCTTTCAAGAAAAAGAAAATAGTTTGCTCCGTGAGCAAGAAGATGCTGCCGAAGAGAGATCCACAAGTGAAATTTTGATGCCTGTATCTGTGCCTTCTTCCAAAAGCCATCACTGGGTTATGTGTACACCTCATTTGTGGTATGTGAAGGTGGCTGGGAGCTGGATCCATTTCTCCCCAAGATGCTTGGGCATCAAATGGAAGAGGTTTCATGGGGAGATGAGGGATTCCTGCACAGTAGCTGTCGTCTTCGAGGAAAAGAGATAGCGGATTATATGCAGGGAGAAAACATGAGTTACTCTCACATGGAATCATTTTTAGCTTCATTGTTCTGTTTTCTTCAGTTGTACAAGCAGTGCTTTAATTTTCACTGGGGCCTTCTTGTTCCTCATTTGGCTGTGGAAAAGTGAATATCTGTTCCTGTTACAAAATTTGTATCACCAAATAATTAGGGGAAGGAGGTCTATATACTTCAGTTCCCCTCTGACTCGTATCATTAAAGATATAAAACCTCTGTTGTCGTTGCTTTTGTAAATAGTGCAGTGCATGGATAATACATTTTGAAGATGGGGATGTTCGTAGTGACCAGGGACGTGTAAGTCTACTGGGCCCTTGTTATTGGCTGAGATTTGGTCCCTGTAGATTCCAAAATCCCTGGATGCTCAAGTCCCATATAAATAAAAATGTAACATTCGTTTGTGGGATTAACATAAATCAAAAACCACTGGATGAATTGACATCAAATTTAGACACAACACACCTATCAGGCTAACGAGTGATCATCTATATATATATATAAATGCTCTGTGCATAATGAGTACCTTAAAAACAAAAGAACCAATGAATGAAATTACACCAAATTTGGCAACAAAATGTCTCACAACACAAGGAGTGACCGTCACTCAAAAAATTATGGTTTTGTCATTTGGGAGTTGTAGTTGCTGGGATTTATAGTTTACCAATAATCAAAGAGCATTCTGAACTCCACCAACAATGGAATTGAACCAAACATGGTACACAGAACTCCCATGAGCAACAGAAAATACTGGAAGGGTTTGGTGGGCATTGACCTTGAGTTTGGGAATTGTAGTTCACTTCCATCCAGAGAACATTGTGGACTCAAACAATGATGGATCTGGACCAAACTTGGCATGGATACTCAATATGCCCAAATGTGAACACAGATGGAGTTTGGGGGAAATAGACCTTGACATTTAGGAGTTGTAGTTACTAGGATGTATAGTTCACCTACAATAAAAGAGCATTCCGAACCCCACCAACGATGGAATTGGGCCAAACATCCCACACAGAACCCCCATGACCAACAGAAAATACTGTGTTTTCTGGTGGTCTTGGGTGACCCTTCTGACACCCCCCTGGTGACCCCCCCCCCCCGGACCTTGACTTTCCAGGTTCAGAAATGCAGCCTTAAGGCCATCCAGTCCAACTCCCTTCACCAGGGCAAGAAAACATAATCAAAGCCCTCCTGACAAAGGGCCATCCAGCCATTCACATACACACACACACATGCTTATGACAGATGCAGTATCAAAGATTTGAAAGGGACCCCTAAAGAAGGACAATGATAATTTTGCATGTTCCAGAGTAGGCAAACCAGACAATCTCCACATCAACACTGACAAAGAAACAGCAAGAAATACTGTTTACCCACAAGCATCAAGACATTATATATATTAGAAACCAACACTTTCTCATAACTTTATTTTCCAGATCAGCAGACTGGGCCACAGCAACGCGTGGCAGGGGACCGCTAGTTACTCATAAAAACACTGAAAAACACAACAGAAGGGACTTAAAAAGCCAAAAAAAAAAAAACCCAACATTACAATGCATGCACTAAACCACATATATACGCATATACACACTGGGCCACAGCAATGCGTGACGGGACGGCTAGTCTATATAAATAAAAATGTAATCTTTGTTTGTGGGATTAACATAACTCAAAAACCACTGGACAAATTGACACCAAATTTGGAGACAATACATCTATCAGGCCAATTAGTGTCCATCACCCCTAAAAACACACAAAAAACCCAGCAGAACTTAACACCTCCCAAAATAAACTATATATACATATACACATACACTCATATACACGTGCACACATACATACAGACACACACATACACAAGCACACACAAATATACACATACATATACACATGCACACATACACATATATTTACATATACACACATATACATATAGACATATATACACACATATATACACAATCACACACATATACACAATATACATATAAACACGGAAATACACAAATACATACACACATACACCCATCTATATATTTGTGTATATATGTGTGTTTGCACATATATATATATATATATATAGAGAGAGAGAGAGAGAGAGAGTCTGTATGTATGTATATGTGCATGTGTATATGTATATGAGTGTATGTGTATATGTATATATAGTTTATTTCTGCTGGGTTTTTTGTGTGTTTTTAGGGGTGATGGACACTCATTGGCCTGATAGGTGTATTATGTCCAAATCTGGTGTCAATTCATCCAGTGGTTTTTGAGTTATGTTAATCCCACAAACGAACATTACATTTTTATTTATATAGATATCTATCTCTCTCTCTCTATATATATATATGCAAACACACATATATACACACACAAAACATATATACAGACATGGCCACAGCAATGTGTGGCAGGGGACGGCTAATAATAATAATAATAATCCCAGGCGACAGCAGGATTGAAGAGAAGCAACTGGAAAATCAGACACGATATGGGGATTTAAAGATCGAACTGCAAAGAGTCTGGCAAAAGCCAGTAAAGTTGGTCTCAGTGGTGATCGGCACACTGGGTGCACTGCCTTAAGACCTTGGCCTGCACTTAAACACAATCGGCGCTGACAAAATTACCATCTGACACTGCAAAAGGCCACCTTACTGGGATCTGCACGCATTATTCACCGATAGATCACACAGTCCTAGACACTTGGGAAGTGCCCGAAGTGTGATCCAATACAACAGCCAGCAGAGTGATCTTGTGTTTCAAATAATAATAATAATTTATTTGTATTACACCCTATCTCCCTGAGGGTGCTCAGGAAGAATTCCAGCATATACAGACACAAGGCAAACATTCAATGTCTAGAAACAACGAAACACAGATAAAGGTAAAGGCTTCTCCTTCCAGCTCTGAGGGGTGGTGCTCATCTCAATTTCTCAGCCGAAGAGCTGATGTTGTCTGTAGACAACTCCTAAGTTATATGGCTGGCATGACTTCCTGGAGCGCCATATACCTTCCCGCAGAGATGGTACCTATTTGCATGTTTTCTAACTGCTAGGTTGGCAGGAGCTGGGGCTAACTCAGGAGCTCACCAGGTTCAGCAACTCAGCAGTTTAACTTGTTGCACCATTGTGGTCCTGTAATGATGTCCCTTATATAAAAGAGCAAAAACAATGCTTGATTCTCACATTTAAAAAAAAAAAACCTCAAGGTATGGATGGTTTGATCCATGAATGCAGAATCTGTGTCCAAACAGTCCCTGAGATACAAACATCCAACTTACAAAAGACTCCTAGTTAAGAATGGGGCTGAGACAACAGGAAGTGAGAGAAATCTACTCCTTGGAAGGAAAATGTACACCTGGAAGAGTGTTATCTTGGGAGAAAGGTGTCTCCATTGAAGCTTTATCACCAATCCTTGTTTCTTTGCTTCCTTGTCAAACTCTACTCAAGCCTTTTCTCTCCCAGCTGGGCTCAATCACACTACCCTATTGTAGTGGTGTTATTCCACTAGCTGCCATAGCAATATCAAAGGGAATCATTGGGCAGTTTAGGGAGAATTCTCAATTAGGGAGATTTTAGGCCTTACCAATCTACACATTGCAGAACATCACAGAATGCCATAATTGCAGTTAATGTGGAATAATAGGGGTTTAGCAGTGTAGTTTGATAGGAGTCCTAAATGATTCGGAATCTCCATTATTAACTCAAACCTCACTGTGCTTCTATGCTGTAGCATTGGAGCCCCCGGTGGCGCAGTGGGTTAAAGCGCTGAGCTTGGTGACCAAAAGGTTGCAGGTTCGATTCCGGGGAGCGGTGTGAGCTTCCGCTGTCAGCCCCAGCTTCTGCCAACCTAGCAGTTTGAAAACATGCAAATGTGAGTAGATCAATAGGTACCACTCTGGCGGGAAGGTAACGGCGCTCCATGGCCACATGACCTTGGAGGTGTCTATGGACAACGCCGGCTCTTTGGCTTAGAAACGGAGATGAACGCCACACTCCAGAGTCGGACACATGTGGTCAGCCCCAGCTTCTGCCAACCTAGCAGTTTGAAAACATGCAAATGTGAGTAGATCAAAAGGTACCACTCCGGAGGGAAGGTAATGACGCTCCATGCAGTCATGCCGGCCACATGACCTTGGAGGTGTCTATGGATAATGCTGGCTCTTCAGCTTGGAAACGGAGATGAGCACCACACCCCAGAGTTGGACACATGTGGTCAGCCCCAGCTTCTGCCAACTTGGCAGTTTGAAAACATGCAAATATGAGTAGATCAATAGGTACCGCTCCGGCGGGAAGCTAATGGTGCTCCATGCAGTCATGCCGGCCACATTGCCTTGGAGGTGTCTATGGACAACGCTGGCTCTTCAGCTTAGAAATGGAGATGAGCACCACACCCCAGAGTCGGACACGACTGGACTTCTTGTCAGGGGAAAACCTTTACCTATATGGCAGTGTGGACTCAGATCACCCAGTTCAAACCAGACATTGTGGGATTTTCCGCCTTGATATTCTAGGTCAGGGGTCCTCAAACTTTTTAAACAGAGGGCCAGGTCACAGTCCCTCAAACTGTTGGGGGGAAAAATGGATTCCTATGCACACTGCACATATCTTATTTGTAGTGAAAAAGACACATAAAACAATGCAATAATTAAAATGAAGAACAATTTTAACAAATATAAACTTATTAGTATTTCAATGGGAAGTGTGGGCCTGCTTTTGGCTGATGAGATAGGATTGTTGTTGTTGTTGTGTGCTTTCAAGTCATTTCAGACTTAGGTTGACCCTGAGCGAGGGCCGGGTAAATGACCTTGGAGGGCCGTATTCGGCCCCCGGGCTAGAATCATAGAATCAAAGAGTTGGAAGAGACCTCATGGGCCATCCAGTCCAACCCCCTGCCAAGAAGCAGGACTATTGCATTCAAAGCACCCCTGACAGATGGCCATCCAGCCTCTGTTTAAAAGCTTCCAAAGAAGGAGCCTCCACCA